ATGGATCCCATGTATCCAGGGTTCAAGAAGTCAGGAGTACAAAAGCTGAAACCATAAGAGCGGGATCTCACACTCTGCTCATCAAAATATATTCTTGTCAGCATCACTGCTAATATTAAAAGACAATTTCCCCAAGAGGTTTCAGGACCCAAGAAGTATATTGAACATTTCAGTTGTATCGGTACTGAATTTTTTTTTTTATGTCAGTCTTATTTGGATCAATATGATCTCTTGGAGGAAAGGTGGTGAGGAGGAGGAAAATGTGCAAATTTAAAAATGGAACTTGACAAGTTACTAGAAGAATTACATGAGGACTTCTGACTTCATATGTTGATTTCTTCTCACCTCAATGTAGGTGACTACATTCAGATAGTCCCTCTTGATTCTCATTGCTTTTAGCAGAGAGAAATAAACACTTGTATGGGCTGAATCACGTCATCCTAATTTAGATGTCAAAAATAAGTTAGACTAACTATGTCCTAAAAATACTTCTTTTTCTCCATTGATTATAAAGGGAGCCCAAAGGAAGAAGTTCTGAAACGGGTATTTCCACTGTTCTAGGAGATTAATTCCACCTCAGGAGACAACTGTCCTCTATTCCAGGGGACAGGAATAATGATAGGGAGGAATAAAGCAAAGAAAGGGAACTGTTGTGGCCAAAGAGATGAAGAATAACTGAAAACAGCATATAGCAGTGGAGAAAACATATCCTCAGCTATGTTATGGAGATGTGGAGTGAAGGCCACGGAAAGGGAAATATCATGGAAAAAGAGTACAAGACTCAGTTATATTGGAGAACATTTTTATTTAGTAGACAGACAACTACCAAAATTACAATTCTATGTGCAGGAAAGTTTTATTTCATACAGAAGTACATATGAGAAGCATTGTCTATCTCTACAGCCTCACACGCATTACATAGAACTAAGAATGCAAATAAACCCATGTTCTTACAGGTAACATAAATATGAAATTTGATTTAATTTGTGTTGCAACAGCAACTTGCCCATCAAATGGAAATCAAAAGTCTCACTGTGCTGTGTTAGCTGTTATATATAGAAAGGAAAATAGTGGAGAGAGTGAAGAAGGTTGACAGAATGCACTAAAAATATCGCTTTCTGCTAATGTATTCTCTGGCAGTGCACCAAGGTTAATATTAGGCGTTCTGCCAAAAGCCAAAAGGTCCCAAGTCCTCACTACTCTTTGAAATGATACTGAGTTATTGTGCCTAATTCTCACCTCTCACTGATTTTTGCTGTCTCTGAGGCCAATGAAATACAAATGGCTTGCTTTATCTCGCTCCTGTGGGAGATGCCTTGCCAGTTCCCACCTTGTGAAGTGCTTCCTGCTGGGTTCTTACCCCAGCCCATGGGGTAAGGACCCTATGGTTACAGCTATGACTATACAAATGTATCCTGAAATTCTTAAAAGCATCTAGTGGTTTTGATTGACTTGATGCACCTTCAGGATACTTGACCATCCAGCAGTGATTGTTGAATGCATGTAAGCACTTCAAAAGAATAGCACTTAAAAGCTGCGTTCAACAGGGCGTGCTTAATTGAAGACACCCAAAATCAATAGTCACTTTTGAAAATTCAGTACACTTTTGGCATTTCCAATAGAAAGACAGGCAAACTTATTTTATAATATATAAAATTTGATTTAATTTTGTAGTATGTTGGACAAAGTTAGTCCCCTCCCAAATTAGAAATGATAAAAGCCTTCATTTCTGTAAATTAAATCACTTCTAGAGATCAGAAGTTGCTCAGTGTCTCACAGAAAGCCTGGGTGCGGTTATGTAAGAAGACAAGCATGTTGATTCATACCAATTATGCTATGCATTACTTGGAAGAGCCTTCACAAATTTTCCCCTCCCCCTCCAAAATCAGATTTAAATGTGGGAAAGAGACTTCTGTATGCTATGAAACAATCCTTCTGTTGTAAGGCTGGCAAAATTCCCACTGGTTAAGGACTGAATGAGCAACCTCTAAAAGCACCAATCTTACCCATTCTCCATTTCTCTCCTGCTGAGCATAATACTTACCACCATAAAGGCTAATGGGTCATTTTATTTCACTCCATTCTTTTGCCTCATATTCTATTATAGCATTAAAATAGATTTGCTTTTGATCACGCTTAAATTTTAAGGCGAGTGATGCATAATTACTTTATTTGCAATTTTCAGATTTCTCTGTAAAATCTAGGACAGAATAGGGTTGATAAATCCTAGATATATACTAAAGCCCTGTTTGGCTTTCTGAAGGAAAGACTACTATTTGCACTAGGGAATTGGGCAGAGCTGCTTAATTTATTCCTCATACACCTGTTACTTATTTGAAGTCACAAACTCTCTTCCCTACCCAAGAAAATCTCTCATTAGCTTCTTCAAAGAGAATTGAGTGATCATGGTGCTATAGCTCTTCCCTTTTATTTTGGTCATCTGGACTCCCATCTCTTGTCACAACCATTCCCTCTTGCCCCTCACTGACATCCTTTATTACAAGTCTAACTCTTAATGCCAACTTCCCCTCACCATTTCACTTTCTACCACCTCTGCTTCCCTTGAGACTATGAACATGTAGTTTCTGGTTTGCTTGGGAAGGAAAACTTGTAAGCACACCTGCTTGTCCATCTTATTTCCCTGTCAGGGGCTCAGAGCTCTCAAGCACTGCCCTAGCTCTCCACCACCTCCCCATTCCCTCTGTCACTCCACCCACACCAGTTTGCAGTCCTCTTCCACCCCGCTCCTTTCTGAAGAAATGTTCTCTTGAAAAACCTCTGTGGACCTTTACCAAACTATCATCTTTCAGATTCTTCCCCAAGAGCCATCTCTCTCTGAGGGAAAATTAAGAACTAGCAATTTAAAAGGTATTTAACTTTAAGAAGATCGTGCAGAAGGAAATCCCTGCTTTGATATACTTCTCAAGAGATCCTTAGGACAGGGTCAGTGATATCATATTAAGGATGATCCTAGAAGGAGATAACTTAGTAGGTACTTGAATTAGATAAGGCTGTGTCTTATTTTAATAGACTTAGGACGCCACAGAGCACTTTATTCAGTATCTTGAAACTTATTCTTCCAGGTATCACTCTCTTCAGTCCAAACTTAACCTTCTGCTGTTGTTTGAAGGAAGGAAGCCGCTCAGAAGAGATCCCCTCTCTTGCTCCCCCGTCGGCCGGGATTTGGTGCCTCGGACCGGCCGCGCTTCCAGCGAGAGCCTCTTCCCGAATCCCTCCAGGAACGCGCCTTCCCCCGGCGCCGAGGGGCTGGGAGGTCGATTGGGGACTCACGGGGGCTCCCGAGGGACCGAGGGGAGTGGGGGGTTCCCTCCCTCTCTGCGGCGGTGCTCCAGCTCCGCTCCGGGAGCTCCTGGCGCTGCTGGATACCGGCGGGAGAGGGGGCCGCCTTCCCGGGCTCAGCACCGGGTCAGGCTTTACCGCCCCCCGCACGGCTGTGCCGCCCCCGGTGGCGGCTCGGCTCTCTTGAAGGTAAAGCCTGAAGTACAAGGCAAAGAGCCGCGCCCGGTGCCCCCCGGCAGCTCCCTCCCCATTTCCTCCCTTGCTCACCCAAACCCACAATTTCGGGTGTCCTCCAGTTCGGGGCTGCTCCGTGCGGGGCGACCGCGCAGCCCCGCGTAAAACGGGACCGGCCGGCATCCCTCGGACGCAGTTAGACGTGCAATGAACGATGAGGGAGAGAAAGTCTCATCCCTCCATACACCGCTTCTGTTCCTAAGCGTCACTTAATTTAAAACAAATGAGAATGAGTGTCCACTTCCACGATAGTGCTCTGGAAGTGACACACGCCAAAAAAAAAAAAAAAAAGCCACAAACAAAAACCACCCGGGAGAGACAAGCCAGCAACTCCCTCTCCGTCCCCTTGGTGAGGGAGCACCCTGCTGCCCCTTGGGTGCTAAGCCGGACAGTTATGATACAGAGTCAGGGAAATGATGCTGTGCATCTGACTTCCCTCAGCTCCCAGCAAAGTTTTCTTACCCGGACCTGCGTGCACATCCCAAAACGAGGGCGTTCAAGACCTGAAGAAATGAGCAGTTTCGAGGACTGCTTGGTGCTATAAGAACTTTAGCAGGTACCTACATATTGCACCGATACCCAACGGCCAGCCGAGCGCGGGGATGTGAACAGCAGCCTAACTGTGCATCACCTGAAAAGCCAGTGGCAGCCAGTGCACCAGCAAGGAAGGTGTTTGCAGAGGGAAGAGTATCTGTCTGCAGTGGGACACACGTGAATCAGAGAAGAAGTTGGCCGGAGGGAGGCAAATCCGAGAAGTTGCTGCTAACTACAGAGTTTTGTAGTTTGAGACACGTGTGACTAGCCCATGGTGAGAATAGAAGTAAGTTCAGCAAATGAAACACGCAGAGCCACGTTTTAGCACACAAAAAGAAAAACTACATAGAAGACTGAAGGAAATCACCCCACTTTATTTGCTGCTTTCTGGTTGAAGGCTATTCGGTGAAAAGATAGGAAAAAAAGGCGATTATTGTGAACTCCGATGGAGCGTGGGCTGAGTCGCTTTCCCACACAGGCACAGCGCCCCATCTTCAGCAAGTTTTAAAGTTCCTTCTTTCTTCCTCCGACCGTTTTGGGCATGCTTTTTGTCCCCCTTTAATCGCATGGCTCCCATTCCCCTCATCAGCAGCTCCACAGAGACCAGACAATGCCTCATTAGGAGCCACTTAAGACCTGCATTCCCCCCCTTAAAGGCTAGGGCGGGACAGGACACAGGCTAGAGGGGAACGACGTGCCAGGAAGGACCGCCACAGGACGGACCGAATGGAGGTCCCTACAAGCATTTTTGGGCAAGTACCGATAGACAGGGGGCTCTTTGGTCCCCCTGCCTGTGGCAGGTGGCGCACCCGGACCCCACAAGCCAGCGGGTCCCCTCAGGGCAGGCAGAAGCAGGACGGGGTGCTGGTGGGGATCTGGGTGTCCGTCACCGCCGTCGCTGAGGTGGGCGCCGGGGCTAACTACAAGCTTACCTGAGTTCCTGAGCTTGCGGTTCTTGAAGACGGAGAGGATGACCAGCAGGTTGCCCAGGATGTCCACCACGGTGGTGAAGATCAGCACGCCGGAGAGCACCGTCACCACCCAGGCGGGCCGCGGGGCACCCGCCGCCGCCGCCTCCCCTTCCCGCTCCGCCAAGCCGAAGCGGCCCCGCCCGCCGGGGTCGCAGCAGTTCCTCAGGGAGCCATTCTCCAGCATCGCTGACGCCGGGGCTGCGGCCGCCTCCCCGCCGTAACCGGCCGCCGCCGCGGCGACCCCGCTGACTGGGCGCGCGGGCGGGAGGGTTGCCTTTTAACGGCCGCGCCGCGCGCGCGGCCCCTCCCGCCCCAACGCGGAGTGGCTGGGGGCGGGGCTAGAGCCCCCCTCCCCCGCAGCCCGTTAGGGGGAAACCCCCCGGGGGGCGGGCACTCCGCCGTGACCACGCCCTCCAAGCCACGCCCCCGCGGCTGCTGAGGGGAGGCGGGGGCGGGGCCGGGGTGAGGGGTTCCCCGCCGGCGGCGGGCGGCGGAGGCGGCCGTGCTCGGTCAGACTCGGGGGTGGCTTCCGTACCCGCGGGGGCAGGCCCCGGCGGCGATGCTCCCCCGACGTCGCCTCTCCCCGCAGCAGCCCCCGGCCCCGCCGAGCTCCGCCGCAAACCTCCACCGCCCGCGGCAGGGAAACGTGTGGTGGTGTTTTGTTTTTTTTCCCCACTGAGGGTCGGTCCGGTGTGTTGCCGGCAACGCAAGGCCGGGGAAGCCCCTTCCCCCCCCCGCATCCTGGGGCTCCGTAGGCCCAGACGGGTGGTTCTGGCGCATTCCTTCCCTTGTCTGGGCGAGAGAGGTAAAAAGGTTTGAGGCTTGGCTTGCCAAGTTCACGGGAACCAGTCCCTCACACCAAGACTGAGGACGACGCCTGAGGGGACATAACTGCGAAAGTCACAGAATCACAGAATGGTCAGGATTGGAAGGGACCTTCGGAGATCATCCAGTCCAACCCCCTGCCCCCCAGAGCAGGCTGGACAGGAACACATCCAGGTGGGTTTTGAATGTCTCCAGAGAAGGAGACTCCACGCCCTCTCTGGGCAGCCTGTTCCAGGGGCCTGGCACCCTCAAAGTAAAGAAGTCTTTCCTCATGTTGAGATGGAATTTCTTGTGTTCCAGTTTGTGCCCATTGTCCCTTGTCCTGTCACTGAAAAGTGACCACTGAAAAGCCTCATCTTCTTGACACCTGCCCTTTAGATACTTATAAGCATCGATGAGATCCCCTCTTGGTCTTCTCCAGGTTAAACAGACCCAGGTCTCACAGCCTTTCCTCAAATGAGAGGTGCTCCAGTCCCTTGATCATCTTTGCAGTCTTCTGCTGGACTCTCTCCAGCAGCTCCCTGTCTTTCCTGAACTGGGGAGGACAGGACATGCTCCAAAACAATGTCAGCTTTGGAAAATGTGTACTTTTTGGAGGCTTTTCCTTTCAAGCTGCAAGAGTGCAGCAGGGGATTGATGGACTTCACTTTGGAATTGTTTGAAACATATAGCTTTATTTTGGATACCAGGTGACAGATGCTGTGTGCTCTAAGATGCAGGGGACAGAGGGGGACAGACCCTGCATGTTTCCATGCCTGGCTTCCAGCATGGCTGCCATCGTGGCATCATTAGCAGGTGCCACTGACAGTGTATCCATGGGTTTGCATAGCATATGCTGGCAATTAGGGTTGCTCACAGCAAGCATAACTCGGAAGGGTTCTATGTCCTACTTTGTATGTTTTTCAGGCCAGCTGGGCCACACCGCATCGTTGTCCTGCTTCCAGGTTTTGCCCCACTTTTGAGAATGCTGCAGGAGCTCCACCTGCAGAAAAGGTCCCTGTGTAGCTGCATTCTTCCCCTTTGTGTCTGCTCAGCACAGAGGAAAGTATGCCCCATAGCTTTTCAAGAATTAGATCTTAAGTTAGGCCGCTCCATGAGTTAATTTGGGAAAATGGGGCAAATTTCTGTCTTTTCTAAAAGCATTAATTTACTATGGCACATTGTTTACCTCTACACAAGTGTGCACTGGTGTAATCAAATTACTACAAATTATTGTGTGGACTTCTCCCTCCAATTAGAAATAGTTTAATGGTGTTCAATTTAAATGTATTCTTAATCAATTTTAGATATACTAAATTAGTCCTGGTTGGAACAAATATGAAAGTGTGCGTGTGGATTTTTGCACCAGTCTTATTCGCAATTATTTTAAAAAAATAATCATACCTCAGATGCTTTTGTTTGACATAGGCAATATATAAGGCATCATGATCCTTTTCAAACTACCGATGGAGTTACCACTTGGCTTCACGGCTTGAACCAAAGGAGGACTGTCTTCTGAGAGTTATCATTCCCCAGTAATTATTTTGCAGTTCTGCCATAAGAAAGTAATTATTGCACACTTGACAGAATAGGCTTTTGAAGGAAGCAAAAGTTTATGAGATTTTTCTTTTTTTTCCTCCTGAAGTTTAAAAGGAAGTTTATCCAAGGAAATGCCTATTTTCTGTATTCATCAGTGCAGAGAAGGATTTTTCTCCAGTGAATAATAATCTACCTCTAAGAAGAGTTTTTGTGTTACAGTGTCTCCCTTTATCTACCTCTGTTCCAATTTCCCTTTTCAGAAAGCTGGTAGCCTCACTGCCCGTTATCTATGTACTACCCTAGTCTTATTGACTTATTATGGAAAACTAACAGATATTATCATTTATTTTCTTGCCTTGGGCTTATTCTGGGCTTCTTTCCAGAATCTGTATAAGTGCTTCTAGGAGAAATGTACCATTTTGTTGTCTGTTATTACTGTAGGATTTATCTTTAACTGTTTGTCAAAAGCTTAAACTGTCCCTAAGCATAAATGTGGCTTTTGAAGGTAGGCTTTGCTCCTGGCATTCTCTGGGTTTGCAGTTCATCCACACAAGAGGAATGCTATATATTTTTTCTGCCACACACAGTTGCTATGTTTCATCACTCACTTTGTTTTACAGCTCCCCAAAGTGTGCCAAGTGATTTAGAGAAAAATTAGAAAGCTATGGCCTGAACCTGGCCTGATGTATGAGCAGGCTACGAAATGTGAAATAAAATAAGTGTTTGTAACAACAGTCTGTCTTTTGTGGCTGCACCGGCATTTGGCAGTGGGAAAACAAGTAAATAGGAATCAAAATGGTAGCCTTTCTGCCTCAGCAACCTGTAAAGAGCAGGTTTATCATCTGATCTGAATTCCCAATCTCTTCTTTTATATCAGTAACATAGCTCTGAATTCTTATTTAGAGTTATCTGCAGAAAGATGTTATAAATGTTAATCTTTTACCTTTTTGAAATGATTGATTAAACTGCATTAAACAATCTATGGATGTTCTTACTCCGCTTTTCAGTAGCCTTATTTCAAATCAACTAAATTCTCTTTGAAAGTGAAATGCATGTTTAAGCCTATTGGTTATTATGGTTAATATGAAATAATTCATTGTTGCAGAGAGCACTCCATCTCAAAAGAAGGGGTATGTTCTTCAGGGTTGGATTTTTAAGACCTTTCTATTTTTGAGTTTTGCAAAGTTTTCTTCTATTTTTTTTGTCTAGGAAAAGTAGCTATTCTGTGTTTCTTTTTGAAAGCAATCTAAACTTTCTAAGCAAACTGTATTTATGTTGCAGGATAAAACCAGGAATTGCCTGGATGGTGAAACAATCAAAAATTTCATGCATCGCTCTGTGCTGGAGGCTATACTCTCTTGTTTTCTTTCTTTCTTTTTTTTTTGTCACATTCTGAAGCCAAATGTCTGCTTCCTAGAGACAAAGTGCATTCATGAACTTTGTGTTCTGTTTTGCTCATCTATTTTTTGAAGGGACTTATCTTTAATTGGTCACAGAAGTCAAAACTCTTCATGAGCACAAACAAAATGTCAGGACAGAGGTTCCTATTGGTAAAATTTCTTGAATTTTGGGTATTCCAGTAGAACAGAAGAAGAAATTGTGTCTCTGCTGTGTTTGTTATTTCATCACACATTTCTACAAGACCAAAGGGCACTTAGATGCAGTCTTCAAATAATGTTCCTACTTTTAACTGTCTCAGTTTGAGCTGACTGTTTTCACGGTGTACACTGTGGCAGAGACTGGAGTTTGGAATTCCATACCTCTTCCATTTCTATCCAATTCTGATTTTTTAAAATAGTTCGCTGTATATTTTTGAGTCAACTTGAGATCAAGGTCTGTTGTTTAAATGAAAGCCTTTTTGCCTGTCCACTGCTGTCATGAGCCTGCACAGAAAAGTTGTATCTTGTTTAATAAACATGAGTCTATCTTCTTTGCAGAAACAGAAGATCCACTTAGTAACACTTTCCTGTCTGAGTTTCATCTTTTCACAGTGCAATGTTAATATTTTAAAGGTAGAAATCAAAGCCTTAGTGGGGGAAGGGTTATTTTGTTGTCCATAATTTTTCAGCCCATTTTTCTTGCTGGAAATTGCCCGTAAAATGAGATCTGCCATCAAATTCTCAATGATTTATTGGTATTTTAGTCACATTGAATTTTCATGGCACATAACAGGATACTTCTGCTGTGAACTGTCAATAAAAACAGTCACTTGGGTTTGAAACTTTAATCTAAATAGATTGGACAAAACAAAGGTGGGGAGCGGAAAGGGGGTTAGGTTGGGTACATCTCAACATAAGAGAGAGAGATTCCTCCTTCCAAAGGACCGTGTGTGTTCTGTCATCATTGGGTAGGTGTTGAAGACAGATGGAATAGATAACCTTGTCTTGTTGCTGAAACTGAAGAGGAGCTTTGATGAGCAGCTTAGACCAGATACATCGGTGTTAGGTAATAAAGGCGACTCTCGCTTGGTGGAGATTACTCCAAGGAGTCATAGCAGGGCTAAAACTAAACCCCAACCTCCTGATTTGGATTCAGTGTCAACATTTCAAAGGCATCCAATTTCTAAACACGCTGTCCTATTCCACCCTCCCTGTTCTTCAGTTTAAGTAGATATATGTATATATATACTTTGTATATACACACATAGATATACAAAGTATGTGTGTATATATATATACGCTTTCTGTGTATACTTGTAGACAAGCTAATGTTACTATTCCATTCTATGACCGTTTTGCCAATTTGTGGTGTGCTTTTCTAACATATAAGCACTAGGCTGGAATGGAAGAAACTGATTTTTGTCCGTGACCCAAACTAATACTTGAACTTAATGTTTCAGGGGTG